AGAGTGGCAAAGTAAAATTCCTGTATTCACTGTTGCTGTGGGAATGACCAGGAGGTGTTGTGATCTGTAGCTCCCCAAGTTCCTCTCCTTAGTGTGGAGTTAAGTTGTCGAGATTGTGAGCGTTCCCTTGCACAAGGCTTTGTGAACTGGGAGTGGGTTTTTTTTTTGTGGAAAGAGGCTACTCGGCCTGGGGAATGTTTTCTTTCTGTGTGAGTCTGTTCAGTGTTAATTCTAGTTACAGAGCCATTTCCCAGGGGCTTGACATTTGTGTAGAACAGAGAAAGCTTAAAAAGATTTCTTATATGATTATTTTCATATGGTTTGATCAGTGGGCTCCAATTACATTTGAAATATATATGTCTTTCTTGTTGGCATCTAAAAAGTGGTCTTACAAGTTTCCAAACCTCTAGCAGTGATGCTCTGCAGAGCAACAGTGCCACAAATATGTCTGAAGGAAAGGCATACGATGCAAGAAGCTGTTAAATTTCCTACTCCAGAAAATCAGTAATGATTGTCACATCAACATAATAGTAGTAGAGCTCTAAGTTACACTTAATAACCAGTTAATTCTTAATAGCAGATAATTTAGAGTGATGATCTGATATTTTGTGATCAGTATTAGGTATTCCAGCTATGATTATGGGTTTTGCCTGTTTATGTCCTTACCTTTTTAATCTTTAATACATCTTCTAAGCATATATATCTAATCATGTTTTTGTGTGTGGTAGTCATTGTCTACAACAGATTTTAAATATCCAACAGATTAATTTAAGAATCAGAAAAAGGAAAACAGGAAAGTTGGTATCATCAAAAGGTGTCTGTTCATCTGGTAAGAAGACTTGAAAAATGAGTCTTTGTTTTTTCACCTGCTGACTAACAGCTCATTTCATTTCCCATGACTGTGAGAGTGATCTCCAGCCTGATTAATGACAGACATGCTTTACCTACAGCTTCTTCAAAGAGCTGCTCCTGAGCAGACACACCTACGCTTTAACCTAAAAGCAGATTCGTAGACCCAGGGCATATGGGTTAAGAAAAAATCCCTTTGTATGCACAGCAGGCAAGACGTTCGTTCTCTCACCTCTGGCTGCTATTTAGTAGCACTGCCTCTTTCTCTATCCATAACCCTACATCACAAACCCCAGACCAAAAAAATATCATTACTCCTCTTATTTTGTCCTTTTGAGCTCCAAGATTGTTTTTCAAACCCTGTCACACGTGGCTTTCCTAAAGGAGCACAAGTTCTGTCATTCTTATTTTCTTTTTATTAACAAAACTCGTATTTGGATAGAAAACTAGGGCTGTGTTGAGAAGAGTAGCGCACAGCTTTATCGAGTAACAGGTGTTTAGCGCCAGAATCCCTGAAGACCATCACCCTAGCATGGGCAATTCTCTAATGGGGCAAAGATACTGCAGGTGTGCGGTATTAATGACTCTGGTTATTGTGGTAACGCAAAGGGAACTACTGAGAAAGGGAACAACCAAGAGCTAAGGGCAACACACGCGAGGAGATGGTTTTCCTTTGCAAGGGCTTAGGAGTGTAAATAGATTGCAGCTTTGCCGATTTTGCTCCCTGCTTCCACATCAATATATAAAGAAGAAAACATCAGGGTTGCCTCCTTACTGGTGAGCACTCATCTGTGATTTTCTTCCCTTCTGTGCTGTTTGCAGCTATCTGTAGTGAAAAGTCCTCACTGGCTAGAGCATCCCAATGATTCCCTGACCCTGAACAAAATAGCTGTTTGTGGTGCCTAGAGCGTACAAACTGAACACAGACTGGAGCTCTGAGCACATGCTCCTGAGCTGCCATTCTCTGGTGAGTTCCTATACCAAAAAAAACCAACCATGAAACCACATGTAAGTGTTTTTTAAAGACTAGATTATAGATGTATATCCATAAAAAGTTACATTTGTTTTTTCACCCGCTGACTAACTGTTCATTTCAACTGTTCGTAGTTGCGTTAACTATCCATGAAAGTTACATTGTCTTGAACAGAGCTGTCTGAAGGTGGCTGAGAAAGAAAATTCAATATTGGGCGCATTTCATTTTCAAGTTCCTGATAGCTGTAGTTTAATAAGATTTTTTTTCATTATTGGCAAATGAAAAGATAAGTAATTTTACTTTAGGTAATATGCTTGTACTGTGCAGTACTAAAACCATCTTAATAATTTTATAATTTTAATAAAGTGAAACAGTCTCTCAGCATGACTGATGAACTGTTCCTTGGAGAGGCTGAGAAAAAACTTCCTTTTCTGTTTCAAGGATGATTCAAGGAGCAGCTGAAGAATATTTTTTTTTTTTTCCCTTGTGAAAGAAAGCAAGCTCTATTTTTCAGTAAGGAAAGTGGGAAAAACCAAAAGTGATCTATACTTAAAGAACTCATGTGCAGAGCATGATGCAATGAGCTGTCTTGAGTGCGTGAGGAGTAGGTGTGAAATGTCTAACAAGTATGCTGTAAAACATTTCTCACATCTAACCATTGTTAAGATTTCAGAATTTTCCCGTTCGCCCTCAGGAGGAAACAAGATCTCTCAAAAATGTTATGGCAAGAAAGGAAGGGAGGAAAAGAGAGAGAAGCCTAAAAATAGCAAGTAGGGTAGGGCATTCATCTAAGATTAGGGAGCCCCAGACTGAAATCCCTGTCTTGAAGCAGGCTCAAAGGGTAAATCCACACGGTTCAATGAAGTATGAAGTAGACACCCAAGCTAGCTTGCTCGGAGCTACTTCACACCCTAGGAGCAAAGGAGTTGCACTAATTCTGTACGGTGCTGACAAACAGCGTAAATACAGTGGGGAATGCATTCCACTGAAGTGGAAGAGCCAGGCTTCGCACCAGGTTTGTAACAAGTCAGCTTTTGACTTCATCTTGTAAAAAAAGTTAGTTTTGACCCGGCTGTGTTTGCCTTTTATACCCAAAGTATCCAGTAGCACCCAACAAAATGATACTCAACACACGCAGATGAGGTATGTTATTGTTAATGTCATAACATCACAATAGTATAATAATTATTAATAACACACACAATATTTAATTGCTATAGTGCTTTATAAATATCGTTATTTTATAGTATAAATTTGCATGTATTACTTGTGATTATTTATTTTATTGTCTCAGTGAAAGCGTTTGGGTTTTTTTTAAATATGAAATATGACTTCTTTTATTTCATGTTACTTTGTAAACATGGCATATGGAAGAACTATTAATGCACTTTGTGTTTCTCTGCCTTAGGGCTATTCAGGATTAAAAGAATTTATGATTATCTTGAATTAATAAATGAAAAAGTACGGATTATTGGCTCCATGTGCTTTCCCAAAACCTTCCAATAGTAAGACAGTGTAGACAACTCCACTGGTTCCATTTTTATGGTTTTTGAAAGCAGTAACCTCCAAATGCTAAACACAGGATTTTTTGAATACTGTGATGGTAACCTTCTGGAAATATGATAATGATAACATTATCCTAACATGTACTAGAAACAAAATATATTTATGTGCCAGAAAACAGAAATAAGGTTATTATTCTAGGGTTTTTATAAAGTATAGTTTCCTAAACCTGAAAAACTCTCCAGGATATAGTCTCTATTCCTGTTAACTGACTTGCTTATGTATCTTCCAGGATAAGTGCACCATCTTGTGTTCAGTATAAATATTTGTTGCAAAGCAGAAGACCTTACATTATAATTAATTCAATAACTATAAAATCTGTTTGTATATTAAGATAAAGGTATCCCTACACATGCCACACAAATTCTTAAAAGGAAAATATTATCATTAAAAATAACATAGAATGAAACTGTTTGAAGTTTTTTATTTTGTATATGTTACTTTATTTAAACTGTAATTTTACATAAAAATAATTATTGGTTCAAATCCAAATGGGAAAAAGAAACTTTAATAATATTTTTTTCTTTAATTGGTGATTTAATTTAAATTATAGTGTTTTCGTGCTGTAAAAATCCAACAATTTATCAAAGGCTTGAAGTTATTAAAATACATCAGGTTGAAATATATGTATAGTTCTAATTTGCTTGCTTGTGTTATAATCATTATGAATTGCTCATAGTGCTGAATATGCTATCTCACTTATTTCTAGGCCTTTTCCTTGGCAGAGCTCGACTCAAGGCAGCACTGGGATGTGGGAGAAACAACATAACTCTGTGTTCCCAGCTGTTACTTTCAATCTAATTATGAAGCTATCTTTTCAGAGAGTCACAGAGGGGTCGAGGTTGGAAGGCACTCCGGGATGTGGTCTAGCCCAACCCTCCTGGTCAAAGCAGGATCAGCTACAGCAGGTTGCTCAGGGCTGTGTCCAGTTGGGTTATGAATATCTTCAATGATGGAGACTCCACAATCTCTCTGGGAAACCAGCTCCTGCACAGTGTTTGGCCAGTCTCAAAGTAAAAGTTTGTTCTTGCATTTAAGGAGAATTTCCTGTATTTCATTCAGTGCTCATTGATTCTTGTCTTGTCACTGGGCACCGCTGAGAAAAGCCTGGCTCTACCTTCTTTTACTCCCTCCTATCAGGTATTTGTACACATCGATGACAGCCCCCTCAAGCCTTCTCTTCACCAGGCTGAACAGTCCCAGCTCTCTCAGCCTATCCTCGTATGTCAGATGATCCAAGCCTTTAATGGTCTTTGTGGCCCTTTGCTGGACTCAGTCCAGTATGTCCATGTCTCTCTTGTGCTGAGAAGCCCAGAACTGGCCACAGCACTGCAGATGTGGCCTCACCAGTGCTCATCAGAGGGGAAGGATCACGTCTCTCAACCTGC